ATTCAGGATCCAGATCCAACGGCTACTGGAAGTATTGGCTTCTGGTCCCTAAGACAGTCAGAAGAGATTGATGTGGTTCATTACGTCATTTCAAAAACACAATCTGTATCCGATATAAAGGTTCTGGAGGATTATGCACCTCCATTGACTGGCTTTCCATTGGAGGTAATCGTTCAAGGACAGACGATCTACATAATTCGTTTGACGGGAGAAGGTCATGTCGTAGCAAAACGTTTTTCTGTCAGTGCCGATAAAAGTAAACTTGTCTCCACTCCTGGGAATCAACAAATTATAGAATCAAGCCAAGCGCAGAAGGGCTGTCTAGGAGCTACGCGAGACCAAGACCGTAATCGATTGATCCTAATAGAGTGCTTCGCAGAAGAATAATCCTCTGGAGCTCTGCGCTTCAGATGGAATCTTTTTGACATTGATGGACAAGGAAAAATAACACCTAAAAATGGGGGTACAGGGTCTTTACTTGTGACCGGCATTGGCAGTCTTGACACGCGGCTTTCTGCCAAGATTGTCAACGACCACCTGTTACTTACGGCCGGCACAACTTCAAGTGCTTCCATTTTCTTCCTTGACTTAACACTTGATTCTAACGGTTTACCCTCGATTTCAATCAACAAGTTGGCGGTGCAAGCTCTTGGCCCTGACGTTACGAATAATGGTGCTACGTATTACGCATATCTGAAAAAGGAGAGTAGCGCCCCCTCACAGCCGTTTTTACGACGACTCCGTCCCCTAAATGGTCAGGTGTCCAAAAGCTACATTATCAACGTAAGAGAAGCTAACCCTAACAATCTCGTGGCAAATCCAATCAGCAGTAATATGCCCGACAACGACTGGTTTTGGTTCTTATTTAAAATCAGTACATTTAATGGTGGAGTTGCCATCCAGAGTGGCGAGAGAATTACCATTCCAACCCCATATAGCCATCCCGATAACGAATAAGGTTGGAGTTACGTGAAACTCAGTTGCAAAACACTTCAAGCCGACCAACAAGCTGAGGAATTCAACTTCTGGATATTTAAAACAGAGTCATGTGATCCGAAAAATGGTGGCTATTCAGTTGTGTCTGGCGAAATTGAACCGAACGACTGCATTTTACTTTGGCCAAAAACAGAGCAGTTTGAACCTGGTCACTACAAACAAATTCTTGCTCTTCCAACAGAAAGAGAAATTGAAAGTGCCAAAGTAAGGTTTGGATCCTGGTTTGGCCCCTGGCGTCTAACAATTCCCAACGAACCTACACCGGAGCGTCCGATACCAGTGCCAGCTGGCTCACCTCCAAATTCACCAAGAAATGTTTATCAAGCCAACAAATACTCTCTTCTTCATTTTAATGAAAAAGTCATGATTGGCACACCTTCATCAGGATCAGGGGTAAGAGGAGGTCTACTTCGGTTTGCAAAAACGACCGTAACACCAGTCATAGTATCCAATAGCCAAAGTCCAGCTTTAGTTAAACTTATCTTCAGAGGTAAGGGTGGGGCTTTTCCTCTTGCGGCATCTCCACATGATAGAAACGCCAAGCTTGAAGTCCTTTTCAGCACAGTTTATCAGGAGGGAAGCTATGCCCAACAAACCATGACTTCAGGCTTGTTTTACAGCATTGAATACAGGTCGCCATCAGACACATCATCTCCTGGAGAGTTTCAAAAGCTTGCACGAATTGGTGGTCTGAAAAGTCTGGAATATCCAGAACCTCCAGCATCATTCGTCTGGCTAATTCCACCTCCTTTTAAAGTTACTGGGATGTGCGCAGTAAATAATGTAGCTCCTAACTCCGTCGAATCTCTGACCGAGGTAATAAATAAAGCTGTTGGCCCTGGCAGTTTTGCAGAGGGATTGTTTAAGCCATTTCTGTCCGTACATATGGATATAACTTTACTGAAAGAGATTGCTGAGCAAGGAAACGAAATACTTTTGCGCAAGATTCATGATTACATTCCTAAACCGCCACCCGCACCTCCTCCAGTTAGGCCACCTCTTGGTACGCACAGTTCGCAAGAACTTGGAGACTTAGAAGCCTGCCTCTCTTTATCTAATTTAACTTTTTGGGGGGATAAAGTCCTGAAACAGAAAATCAAAGACAAACTTAAACAAGTCTTTCAGTCTAAGTGGATGACCGAAGAAATATTCAAGATGCGCAAAGAAGTGACCCCTCATTTTCTTGCTGATGTTTCCAACAGATACTCGGCTTACGGTGGAATAGCCGTCTTAATTGCCAACAGACTTAGAAGTCCAGGATTTTTAGAAGAATTGCTATCCCATGACAGGTCTTATATACAGCCAATTGTGGACTCACACCTGAAAGTACTAGACTTAATCCGACCAGACTTGGGGATAGAAGTGAGACAAGACATCATGAGTGCACTCCTTTAGAAAGAAATAGTCAATGAGGTTAGTTCAACTTTAACTGCGCAGTTTATCAATACAGTGTTTTGCAGAATGTGCAAATTTGAACTTTATTTCTGTATATACATGTACCGGTGTTGTAATAATAGCGTGAGTGCCGCGTGGCTGCGCATGCCACGACATGGAAATATTTAAACAATTAAATAGCGAATTTGGTTGTTGTCATAAACACTAGAATGCATGAAGGTCGAAGTGACTGTACCTTGTCACCAGCGACTTTGTTGTTAGAGCGTTTTTATACAAACGTAGATGGTTATGGGAATAAGCACTGGCAAATCCAGAAACTGGCTTTTCGTCTATTGTTTTTAAATCAAAGCATGGTTAATTTTTGAAATCTGAATTCGGAGAAAACCCCTCCGAGTAGGGAAGGGGAACGAAAAACAAACTCAAGCCACAAATTTTCGCTTATCCTTTTGAACGTGGTGGAAATATTGTTTTGCGCTTGTGATGACTTTACAGTACGTAAAAATGATACCAAATTGTACGTTCCTTTTTAAAAGACGTTGGCAACATCAGGTGGCCGCCATAGCGTAACACAGCAACTGATCCCACCATCCCTCTGTTTCGTATCAAAATCCCGTATCAAAAATCTAGTCTGACGAGGCTTAATCACTCAATTGATTAACAAGTTAAGACGAAATCCGATAGAAAACCGAGTAGTTTCAGTTTTCTATGGACAAAAACCTTGTACCAAAAAAATTTTAGGTATTCTACAGTCCTTTTTGCGTTTTCTTAAAGCTAAAGAACAAATAGTTGCCTGAAATAATTATTATTATTTGCATATTATTTGCATAATAAGGTGTTGTAACGTTGAAGAGTCAATTTGAAACTATCGTGAGACTTGTTCCGTTCACCTTATTAGGTAGTTTATCAGAAGCGAACCAGAATACTCTGAAAATCTTAAATATTTTTGTGGCCACTAAAAGTTATTACTTGCATATGGGTTTAGATGGGCATTGGCGCATGCGGTAAGTCTCTGCAGTCACCATAAGCAACTGTAGAAAAATTTTGACCCAATATGGTCTTAACTTTCGTAAGCGACCACCTCCCATAAGCGACCACCTAGGCTTGACATTTTAGATGGTCACTTACGCGAGGTTCGACTGTATTAAAATCACATATCCAGCTAAGGCTTAGGACTTAAGATGTTACTGAATATTAATACTAATAATTTTAAATTTAAACGTATTTGTTCTTTTGCAGCCTTGGACAATAATGCAAAGGCTTGACACGGAAAAGCAAAGGGATGCCATAAGAGCGGCCATTACCGCAATATATGAGGAGCCGGGTGTACCAGAGGAAGTCCGAACTACATTCACAAACGTCATGGAGGGCATAATAAATGTCGTGCTTTATCCTCTGACAAGCACACAGCTTGGAGTCTTTAGCAATTTTCTTGACATGAAAAAGCTCGACGTCTTGAATGCTGCACTGGAAAAGTTGAAAATTTACATGGACATGTCAATTTTAATTTACAGCATGTAAATATTGATTTACATTCTTTGTAAATTACAATTTACATGTTAGGGTTTTGTAAAATAAATTTACAGGAAATTTACAGCTTTTAGTACAGCATGTAAATGTTGTGTAAATAGTGATTTACATTGTCTTTGTCGACAATGATCATTTGAAGAACATGTAAAAACCTGTAAAATATTTTACGCACTTTTACAGTATCTGCCTTTGTATAAAACATGTAAATTGCTTTGCTAAACCATGTAAGAAACGTGTAAATAATTCAAGCGAATGCTGTAAAAAG